TTTTCTTGTAACTCTTTGTTATTAGTAGCTCTTGTAACTCTTTCTGGATGGTTGGTGGAGACTTTAATTGTACTTATGTACCTTCAGAAAAGTTGGGTGGTGCCCCCCTGACCTCAACAAGATGAATTATTTCAATGATCAAAGCAACTTTGCTGGTCTGTATGACCTTGGTTTTTCTGGTCCAAAATTTATGTGGAGGAGGGCTCAACTTTGGGAGAGGTTAGATAGAATTTTTGTGAATTCCATGTGGCTTATTGAGTTCATTCACACTTCTGTGCAGCATCTCAGCATGACAGGATCAGATCATTGACCACTGCTTATGAAAATTTCTGCATCAAATGTTAAGCACAAGCCAAGTTTTAGATACCTCAACATGTGGTTTTCCCACAAAGACTTCCTCAATCAGGTCTCATTGGTTTGGAGGGATTGTCACCATTCCAACCCTCTGATTAAGTTATGGCAACTGCAAAAGAAGTTAGGCAGACACTTATCTAACTGGAATTGGAAAAAAGTGGGAGACGTCAACTTAAATGTAGTGGATGCCGAAAAGACAGTTGCTATTTTGGAAGTTGAACTAGAGATTAACCCTGATGTGGAGAAGGATCTATTGATAGCAAATGAAAATTTGACGAATGCCATCTGTATGCAGGAGGATTTCTTTGCCCAAAAGGTTGTCAAGACCAGATTTTGTGAAGGGGATAGAAACTCAAAATATTTTCATGCCTGTATCAAGTTTAGAAGAAAGTGCAACACAATACATAAGATTAAGGAGACTGATGGCAAGTGGCTCCATTCTGATGACTTGATTGCTGCTAGTGCTGTTAACTACTTCCAAACACTCTTTAAACAACCTTCTGATCTTAGGCCCACCATCCAGCAGGATTTGTTTTCATGGAAGATCATTAAAGATGATATTATAAAGGCTGTCCAAGGTTTCTTTAGAGGTTTGGATCTTCCCAACTATTTTAAATGCTCCAACATAACTCTAATTCCCAAATCTTCTTCTGCTATCTCTTGGGATCTTTTCAGGCCCATTAACCTCACAAATGTGTTATCTAAAATGATTAGTAAAGTGATCTCTAACAGACTCCAACCCCTCCTTCCAAAGATTATCTGTGAGAATCATTCAGCTTTCATTAAAGGGAGAAGCATTGTAGATAATGTTCTGCTAGCCCAAGAACTGGTGTTGGATCTGGACAAGCAATGCAGAGGGAGGAACCTAATAATGAAATTGGATATCAGGAAGGCATATGACACCATCAATTGGGATTTCATTGAGGAAGTACTGTATGCTAAGGGTTTTAATGCACAATTTATCTTGCTGATACATAGGTGGCTAAGAAACAACTCTCAATTTGTGTTTATAAATGGTAAATTTCATGGTTTCTTCACCTCATCTAGAGGAATCAAGCAAGGTGACCCAGTGTCTCCAACTATCTTCAACATTGCTTTTGATTACTTCTCTAAAATGTTGAATCATCTCATGGTTTCATCCCCTCATACTCTCTACAGTCATAGATCTAACATTGTTGTGAATCATTTAGCATTTGCTGATGATGTTATTATCTTTGCCAAAGCAACCAAACCAGCTGTTAAATTGGTTCTTCAATGCCTGGAGAAGTTTCATAAATGTTCTGGTATGCAATTCCATACTAAGAAATGTCTTTTGGTGTTTACCAAAAAAGTTAAACCTGAAATTAAGCATTGACTTCAAGGCTAGCTCTCTGACTTTAAAATACCTAGGTACTTTGCTAGTGAAGGGGAAAACAAGACAAGTTCAATTTGATGATTGTATCACCAAAATTCAGGATAAACTAAACTGCTAGGCTAATTCATTCCTTTCCAATGGGGGTAGAGTTACTCTTCTAAAAAGTGTCTTGACAACTCTTCCATCCTATATCTCCCAGGTTTCTGCAATGAAAAAGTCAACACATTTAACATTGGAAAAAATGTTTAATAGATTTTTGTGGGCAGGTCAGAGGAAGCAAATGCTTTGGACCAGTTGGCAAAAGCTGTATGGAAGCACTAATGCTGGTGGGCTGGGTTTCAAAAGTCTTATACAGATCTCTCAAATCAATTTTTGTAAGCTTTGGTTGATGTTCAGAGCTCAGAGTTCTATTTGGGCTAAATTTTTGAAGGGCAAATACTGTAGAGAGATGCACCCCTCCCTTGTTAATAAAAGACTTGGGGATTCCAGGGCCTGGACCAATATGCTAAAAGTTAGATCTCAGGCTGAAAACC